GGGCAGTTGAAGGGAAGGCCCAGCACACTTAGGATAACATCCACACATGTGCTGGACAAAAGGTGAGCGGTGATCAATCACAATGCTCAAAAACTGAGAATAGAAAGCTCAAAAATTGGCTTTCAGAAGTTGGCTAAATAAATGAGATGAGCAGAGAATAAAAACATCACTAAAAATAAGATTTACAGTTATAGGCAAACATGCACTACTTCTTCACCATGGGCAAGATACCCAGAGTAACTGCTCAGGCAACTATGCCGAAGCTGATCCTGAGTTCTCCTACTCAGATTCTTGGGAAAGCTCCTGTTGTTGCCATTAACTCAGCTCCACTTCATCAAAACATCTAGCATTTTCTCCAATGAACTAAAATCCTGCTTCTGCTTAGCTTCCCTGAAGAAAAAGTACAAATCTATCACAGTGTAAAAGTACACTCCTAGCCAGGCATGGTGGAACACAGCTGTAGTCCACGCACTCTGCGAGGCTGAGGAAGGACGATCACAAGTTCAAATTTAATGATACAGCCAGACCCTGTCTCCAAAAAAAAAGACTGCAGATGTAGCTCAGAGCAAATGCCCAGTTCGGTCCTCAATATCGTCCCCTCAAAATTCATTCCTAGAAAAATTGTCAACTAAAAATTTTATGAATTGAACTATATTTCTAATGTGTGGAGTGAAATAAAGAAGAGTTTGGAAATGAGTCTGCTTTTCTAAAAAGTTCTTTGATGAATTTTAAATCGACATATCATACAAATTTTATTTTAATAGACATGCATTTTTAATCTCATAACTAACAAAAACACACACTTGTAACAAGTCAAAGAACTCAGAGAGGCCCAAACAAAAGGCCAATCATCTTCCCACCAGCTCCCTCTCGTCAAGTCCCATGTCACTCCAGGTGATCTGACAATCTCACACTTTTCCCACAAATGTTTGTGTGAGTATACACAGCACTTCTCGAGGTTTTGGTTCTTCTTGAGGAATCTCAGTTCTTATTTTCATTCTTTTTTATTGCAACAATTACATTATGTACACTAGCCTTTTTTTTTTTCACTTAGCATACAGCTATCCCTTCAGATTAGGACCTATGGTTTTACCTAGTTATCAAGTTTGATAACAGCCACAATCATCCAATATTCCATAGTGCAACTCTATAATGATTCACTCAACCATGCACCTTGAGACAGATGTTCCATTTTTTCCTTCTGTTATCTGCCACAAGCCGTGCTGCAAGAAATACTCCAGTATGGCCCTTCCAGCAGCCCCGGTAACTCTTATGCTTATTTACCAAGTTTCGCTTGTTGCATACCAGTTTTCCTTTTGATAATTAGAACTTAGACTAAACCCCCTCGCATCTCTCATACATATTTTTGTATCAGTCAAGCCAGCGTTTTGTCTCTAAGCAATGCTGCAGCTGCTCCTTACTGGGGGCAGGAAGTTTCTGCAAGCTTTGATCATCCCATAGCCTTTCCACACTGGAAACAATCTTTTCTCCATCTGCAGCCTCTGTAACCCCTTTGTGAACTTTAAATCCTCCGTAAAACTGAGAGGGATACGTAGAAATCGGAATATCCAGCCTGAAAACCATCTTCGGAATGGAGTCCTTTGTAAAACTACGACCTACTTAGACTGAGAACTGCCAAGGTGTGACTGTGGAAAAGGCTTGGATAGTTGATGTGTGCCAGTACAGGTAGGGGGTCGAGATGCTCAGGAGAGCTGGGCAGCTCCAAAATACCTTCTCCTGAAGCTCTGTCACTAGAGAGCAATCACATTTCCTCCGACTAGCTGTGATGGCAGAGTAATGAGATTTAGAAATAAAAACACAAGCTGCCCACTTAAAGATGAATTTCAGATATTCTGCGATAATATTTGGTTATTTTATGTTATGTTATAGTGTTTCATCGTTAAAGTATGACACAGGACATACTGATGCTAAAACATTAGTCATGAGTAACTGAAATTTGAACTTAAGCGGGCACCCTATATTTTATCTGGCCATTCTGTAGGACAGAAGAAATTTGCTGCCTCTGGTACCCACCATCCAGAACTTTCTTTGCTCTTATCATTGAAGTCAGAACCACACACCTTAGGGATTCGTCTTCCTTCCTTAGTCAGGTTTCCCTGCAGACAGGGATGTGTTCGTGTCCTGATCTGAGCTCCTGTCACAGCAAAGGTGGCTTCCAGTTCCGTGATTCTTTGCTTCGCACTGAGCTTGCGTGGGCTTATCTTCCATGTGCCAGTTTTCTGGATGGCAGGATTTGTGTCATCCAAGCTTCGCTCTTTGACCATGAAAGGCAGCCCAACCCCCTGCCCTTGTATCTGAACATCCACTACTGTGTATTTGTGTATGCTCTTCCCTCCTCTGCGTGTCTGGTCCCTTTACAGTCTTCATCTCCTGAAACTTTTGGATCAAGCTAAGATTGTTGTCAGAGAAAGATCCAAGTTTTGTAACCCACATTATATAATTAGGGAAAGTCACCACTTAAACTTTGGTACCTTCCTCTGTAAACTGGATGTTGCCTTCTAGTAGATGTTCAAGATCATTTGTAGCTCTGACACTCTGGTTCTAGGGTCCTCACCCCTCCAGATCCAGCTGTCCTGGACACAGCCCTTGTCTGAGCACCTTCTAGACCTAGCACTGCTTGTGTCCCAGCTGACACTCAGCTTTGCTGATAGAAACCTTCAACATGACTGCAAGGGGGATAGCCAGCCTCCACTCTTCCTTCTGAATACTGTACTCCACCATTTAACACAGAAATTGCCCGCTTTGGAATCAGCACAGTGCCTGAACAAGTAAGACACTCCCCTTTTTATCAGTTGTGGTCATTGGGAAAGTTCCTGTGATATAAACTATCACACTGTTTTACATCAAGCTATTTACATATTAACAGTCGGATACTATAGCTGTAACACTCCTAAAGAGTGGCAATTATCACTATGTACAAGGAATCTTTATAACAAAATCTTTGACCCCAAACATAAATTCATGCTCTTTTAATGAGCAGTTAGGATGTATAAATGCACATTAAAATAATCAGAAGAGAACTGAAAAGACAGGGTAATGTGTTTCAAATTTAAAATTTTTCAAAATAAATTTGCTCATCTTCATAAGAATTAAAAGGTTTTTAACTTCTCCAAGTATTTTAAAATAGAAGTTGCATGTTGAAAACTTAGAAGTGTAGTAAAACACTCTAATTCCTCAAGACCTGAACCTTCTGGATCACAGGGCTATTTATCTTTTGGGGGCTTGCTTGTTTTGTTTTGTTTTTTTGCTTATTGAGATAAGGTCTTGCTATGTAGTTCAGGATGGCCTTGAACTCACTAGGTAGCCCAGGCTGATTTCAAACTAGTGGGGATCCTCCTGCCTCAGCTTCCCAAGTACTGGTATTCAAGCATACACCACCATACGCAGCAGCCCTATTTATCTTTTTATTCTATGTAGAGCACTGTTTAGAAATGTCAAATTTATAACATGCAGTGAGGACGTAAAATGCATTCATTATGGGAATTTAGAGCATCAAACAAATGAATGGTCATTAGATATCTAGTAGAGTGTTTTGTAAAGTTTCTAGTGATCTCCCATAAATACATTCACAAGACATTACTCCTACTATTTATGTGAGGCCTTTTGATTCTTTTATTCTATTTTATTTTATCTCTTAGAAGTTGGTTGTGACTCACCTTACTGATTTCATGACTCACTAACAGATCACAAACCACAGATTGAAAATCAGTTAAAAAAAAAAAACTCTCAGGGCCAGGGATTTGGCTTAGTGTTTCCAGTGCCTGCCTCTCAAGTACAAGGACCCGAGTTCCATCTTCGGTACCAAAAAAAAAAAAAGAAAGAAAAATGGCTTCACCAAAATTAGTATAAGGTAATCAAATAACCAAGACAATTTATTTGTTAATAAATTTATAAGTCTTCACAAACAAAATACTAAATAGGGAATGGCCAGTGGAGTGTATGGGGTATATTAAGGTGATTTCTAAACATTAAAATACTGATGTAAAGGTCACAGAAAGAGAAGGAGCCACTGCTCACTGGGCACCTGCTATGCATTAAGCACAAGTTTAAACAAAAAAGAAAACTGTATCAGAACCAAGATCAGAATCTATCAGAAACTATCAGAGTTTGTATCATTCTGCCCTTTATTTTTGTCTCTAAAGATATTATTTTGTCCAATAAAAACTCAGAAAAACAGTAGAAAAATCAGCCAAATCAAAAGGTGGTTCTTTGAGAAAATCACTAAATCAAACTGACAAGTAAGGTCTGAAAAGAGGTAAGACACAGATCACCAAAATAAGGAATAGAAGAGTAGAGTTGCATTTATTATTCTGTAAATATTAAAAGGCCAATAATGGAATATTAAAAGTAAGTTTGTATCTAATAATTCAGCAATTTAGATGAAATATAAAACTCCTGAAAAGATTTAATATAAAAATGTACTTAAGGAAAACAGATAACTTGAATAATGCTGTATCCACTTGAAACTGAAATTATAGTAAAAATCTTTCCATGAAGAAAACTCCAGCCCCAGATAGCTCCAAGGTAAATTCTATCAAACACTCAGTAAGACATAATAGAGATTCTATACAAATTCTTCCAAAGAAAAAATTAAACAGAAAGTATTTGCTTCCCAACTCATCCTATGAGGCCAACATTACCCTGAAGTTTTCACAGTGTATTGAAAGAATAATACATCATGACTTTATCCCAGGAATGCAGGGTTAGTTTAACATTGAAAATTAAGTTAAGATACTTTATAATATCAACAAATGAAAAAATAAAAAACCATCATGTCAGTAGATACAAAGAAAGCATTTGATAAAATCTAACATCCATTCCTAATTTTTTTTTCTGGTACTGGGGATTGAACTCAGGACCTTGTGCTTTCGAAGCAGGTGCAGGACCACTGAGCTAAATCCACGGCTGCATTCCAAATTGTTTAAAACTCTCAGGAGAATAGGCAGGAAATTCCTCCTTGACAAAAGCTACATACTTACTTTAAGCATCATACTTAGTGCTGAAAGCCTGAATGCATCCCTGGTAAGATCAGAAATCAGACAGTTACACTCATTCTCCCCAGTTCTGTTCAACACTGTATGGAAGTCTGGCAAGTGCAGTCAAAGGAAAAGGGAAAAGAAAAGAAAAAAATGCTTAAATTAGAAGGAAGCAAATAAAATCATCTTTATTCTCTCTTGGTACAAGTAGTTATATAGGAAATCAATAGAATCTATCAAAAAATTTTTTTTCTTTTTTTTTTTTTTTTTTTTGGTACCGGGGATTGAACTCAGGTCCTTGCACTTGCAAGGCAGGCCACCGAATCGCTGAGCTAAATCTCCAGCCCTGAATCTATCACAATTCTTGCTAGAATCAATAAGTAAATTTAGTAACATTTAGGTTACAGGGTCAATACATAAAAATCTATTGTATTTCTATATTTAATCAGAAATTTTAAAAATAACACTCCTATAACATAAACATAGGAAAGATTTAAGGATTTTTAAACAAAAGATGTGTAACTATGGAAATCAATATGGAGATACCTCAAAGAGCTGGGACCAGAGGTTCCATTTGACCCAGCCATCCCTCTGCTGGGTATCTTTCCAAAAGAATTAAAAGAATCAAGTCACAGTGATATATGTGCACCTATGTTTATAGCGGTGCAGTTTGTAACAGCTAAAACTCAGAAACAGCCCATTTGCCATCAGTAGGAGACTGGATAAAGAAGATGTGGTTTTTCTATAAAATGGAATACTACTCAGCCATAAAGAATGAGAAATTAGATTCATTCATAGGAAAGTGGATACATATTGAGGATATACTCCTAGGTGAAACAAATAAGTCACACGTGTAAATACCAAATAGTTTCTCTGGTGTGAAAAACTATAATAGTACATAAGATCCTAATGATATAATTGACAACGTGAAATAGGAAGAAAAGGGCTAAAGGTGTAGGGAAAGGGGAAAGGTATTACGGGAAAAGAAAAAATATGAGAAAGTGAAAAAATGGAAATAAAGTGATTGCAAATGGGGAGGGTAGGGGGTGAAGGGAGGGCAGGGACAAGGGGAAAAAATGAGAACCAAGACCTGTCATGTAAAGGCACAAGATCCCAATGATGAATGTAACTGTACTCTATACCTAAAATGTACCAATAAACTCAATGAGGAAAAAAAAATCTTTGTCAGATTTATTTTGGCTATTTTAAGGTATTTGGATTTTCATATGAATTTAGAATCAGCTTGTCAGTTCTACAAAAAATACCCCTTACCCCTGCCCTCCCTTCACCCCCTCCTCCCCTCCCCCATTTACAAACATTTTATTTCCATTTTTTCATTTTCTCCTATTTTTTTCTTTCCCTTATTTCCTTTCCCCTACCATTCCCCTGACAAAGAATCTTAAAGAGAGTGCTCACTGAATGCAACAATCATTTTAAAGTCACAATTATCAAAAAAATTGAAATGTGTTACGTACATATAATAAGTCCCTATAGTGAACGTAATCATTAAATCATTATGTACTGCAAACATGTACTAATAATGCTTTTTTACTGAGCTAAATCCCCAGGCTATGTACTAATGATGTTTAAAAAAAGAAGGAAGTAAGAAAGGAAGGAAGGAAGGGAAGAAAGAAAGAAAGAAAGAAAACAAAATAATGAATAATGTGTTTGGAGTAAAGATAGATCACTGGAAAAGAATAGAGTTTAGAAAGAACCTACACACATATGGATTTTTGACAGACATAGAGGGTAATACTGCAGAGAAAAGGCAACCTTTTCAACAAATGGTGTTGGAACAGCTAGACAGTTATATTTAAAAGCAAAAATGAACTTGGTTCCATACCTTGCACTATATTTCAAAATTGTTTGAAATTTATCATGGACTTAATGGGAAACAGAAACCTATAAAACTTCTAGAATGAAACAGGAGAAAATCTTTGTGACACTGGGTTAGGCAAAGTTTTCTTAGGACACAAAAGTACCACTAAGGAAATGATCTAAATGATTAACTGAACTTCAGCAAAATAAAAAATTTCTGCTCTTAAGTTAAAACAATGAAAAAATAATACAAGAACCAGGAGAAAATATTTACAAAGCATATGTTAGATAAAAGACTTATATCTAGTATATATAAAGAATAATCCCCCACAGACTGTCAGCTGGAAGTGAAATTCCTAATGAAAAAGAGGGGAACCTTTGCTAGGAGTCCCCATAAACATGTACTGTAATTTTATTGTAGAGTTAAGTTTATCTTTACTCCTAAAAAAAAAAAATGAACACTCAAAATTCAACAATAAGAAAAAAGGCAACCCAATAAAAACATTCAAAATATTTTATTTACACTTCACAAAGATCAGCAACACTTCACAAAAGAAGATTAGTAAGTAGGTACATGAAAAGATCTTCAATATCATAAGTCATTAGAGAAATGCAAAATGAAATCATGATGAGATACCACTACACATCTATTAGAGTGGCCAAAATGTGAAAGGCTGACAGTATCAAGTGTTGGTAAGGGCACAGAGGAATGAGACACTTTTACACTGAAGGTGGGGATATAAAATTATACAATCATTTTGGAAAAGAATTTGGAACTTCTCCTTAAAAGCTGGAAACCTACCATGTGGTGCAGTCATTTAACTCTTATTTACCCCCAAAGAAATAGAACTATCTGTTCCTACCAAGGTTTGCATAATGATTATTCATTATGATTAGTCTTTTGGGTAATAGCCAAAAAACTTTTTTTTTCTTGTCTCCATCTTTCCTTTGAAATAAAAAGCTATTGATTTAAGCAATGACATGGAGGAATTTCAAAATAGTTCAGTGGAGTAAAACCAACTAATTTCCATTTATGTGAAAATCTAGAAAATTCAAAGCAATTTTATAGTGGCAGGGATTAGGTGTATGGCTGTTTGGGGATGAAAGGAACAAGAGGGAGGGATAACCAAGGGGTACAAAAAACTGTGAGGTGGTGGATACGTTCACTATTGCGATTGTAGAGATGGTTTTGTGGATATTCACATAGGCCAAAACTTTGGTCAAATTATATGTTTTAAATATGTGAAATTTACACATCATTTACCTAAAAAGAAATAGAAAGCTGATTAACGCAAAAAAAATATTTTCTCCCAGACCAACTTATTTTCCAAAGCTGGAACTGCAGCTGGCGAGTCCATGTCCCACCATACGTGAAGAAATGCTTTTCTCCTCCAACTCTGAAAAGTCCCTAGAGTTGTCTAGTTTTCCAGTGGAGGGGAGAGAGGTGAGACATAGGGAGGGTCATCATTACAGGTAAGGGAGGTAAGGGTAGAGGACAAGAAAGCAGATGACTACACTTGTAGTACCCATATTGGAGAGGCTAACCAGTCTCTAAATAAAGGAGTTTCTATTCCCAGTAGAGCGTAGTACAAAACAGACAAAATTTTAAATGTCACAGCATTTTCTGTGTCTTCCCTTTTTTAATCCTTACAGTAAAATGGTGTGGCATTTCACAGCAGAGGAAGCTGAGCATCCAAAAGGGTAATTTCAGTGGATTTAATAACGACCCCCACAGTGACTCTATTTTAATTTTATGTGTCAGCTCGGCCATACCACAGGTCCTAGATATTTGATGAAGCACATCCGGATGTTGTTGGGTAGATATTTTTCAGATGGGATCAACAATTAAACCAGCAGACATTGAGTAAAGCAGATGACCCTCACGACATGGGTAAGCCTCACCTAATCAATGGAAAGCTCGCAGAAGAAGGAGGGACTTCTGAAGGAGGGACTTCCACTAGCAGACCACCTTTGGATTCAAACCATACATCAACTGTTTGCTGGGTTGGCAGCCAATTGGCCCAGCCCACAGATCTTAGGCTTGCCAGCTTCCACAATTATATGAGCCAGTTCCTTAAAATCTCCCCCTTCACACACACATACCATTGGTTTTAGTTCTCTGGGGAACTAATTTGTCTCCTAAAATTTATGTCCACCCAGAATATGACCTTACTGGAAATAGGGTCTTTGTATATTGAGTTTGTAATGGATTAGGGTGAGCGCTAAATCCAAAGACTGATGCCCTCATATATGAAGAAGAGGACACAGAACACAAACAGAAAGAAGGTCATGTGACAACTGAGGCTAGTACTGGAATTATGCCCTACAGGCCAAGGAAAGCCGAAGCTTGCCAGCAACCACCAGGAGCTGGGAGAGAGACACACAGCAGATTCTCACACAGACCTTCCCAAAGCAACCAACCCTAGAACACCTTGATTTCAGACTTTTACCCTTCAGAACTGTGAAAGAATGAATTTCTGTTGCTTTAGGGCACCAAGTTTGTAGAGAATTGTTGCAACAGCACAAGGAAACTAACATAACCAAGTGACTAGCTCAAGGGAGAGCCAGTATACATATTTCTGATGATCCTTGTCTTTCCCCTTCACTACCCAGTTTTCCCATTTAACAGCCCCCTAGGAGAGCTTTCTGGGAGCTCAGCCCAGTGGAAATCAAGAGCACCAAGCTGATGAAGAGACTGAACCTCTGCCCATAGAAGTCCACAGCTATGGGGACACTAACCACAGACCCAGCCAGCTCATCATGGGTCTGAGTGCTGTGTACAGGGCCTCATTTCAGAGAGACAACAGAGTAGTGAAGACAGAGGCTGACCAGTCAGTAGTCCTACCATTTACTAGCTATGCAACTCTGAGATCCTTGCTTAGCCTCTCTGAGCCTCAGTTCCCCCATGTGAAATAGCACCTGCTTTCTTGGGTTATTATGAGGTTTTAAATGAGCCAACACATGTCAAGTGCACAGAGAACAGTGCCTAGCACATAATGAATAGGACCAGGGCTCTGGTTCCTGCCTCAGTAAGGAGAACCTGACCTGTGTCTAGGGACAAGCAACAGAAAGGACAGGACTGCAAGAAGAGGGAAGGCCACTAGGCCACCCATGTGAGCTGGGGAAGACACTGTGACAAAAGGATGTCCCAGTTAATGACAGCACTTCAGCCTCACTACTGGCAGCATATAATCAGAAGGCCGTCTTCAAAAGGTATGGATGAATTAGGAGAAATGGGTGAAAGGGGTGGGGTGGGAGAGGTGCTTTCCCCAGCAAAGCTGATGGGAAAGAA